TGATATGAATAAAATTCAGATGCCTAAAGCCTTCAACTAAGAACACAATCTCCAATTCTTGACAGTGTAAATCTAGGACAACTGAAAGCATCACTTTTCTGAGGATTCAATGAAGAAATTAATTCAAAAAAAGCACACAGAAATCGCCTGTATCATTATCATAGTCGCTTTATGGGAAAGATACAGCACAGCAAGATGAATGAAGGTTCTTGTCTTTCTAGGAAACCAAACTGTGGTTATCTTCTTTTCGCTCAGATCACAAATCTAAAATAAACGATAACATAGGAAGAGATTTAAATGATCTGATGGTTCTCCTAAAGCATACACTTAACAAGTTGTGAAGCCAAAACTTTCAATGTGGTCATCCTCGTAACTATACCTGCCGTTAGTTTCCTGTGGCGGCAGTAACAAATTAATACCACAACGATGGCTTAGAACAACAGAAATGTTTCCAAAGGGGCTAAAATCAAGGTGTCAGGAGGGCCGATCTCCCCCGAAGCTCTATGCGGAACAGCCCCTTGCCTTTCCCAGTCTCTGATACTGCAGCATTCTTTAGCGTGTCACTGCATCTCCCATCTCTGCCTTGCAGTCACCACACCTTCTTACCTTTCTGTAGTCAAACCTCCCTCTACCTCCTCTCCTAAGGAAATGTGTTTGCAAGTAGGGTCCATCCAGATAACCCAGAATAATATCTCCATTTTTAAAAACTTAATTATGCCTACAATGTCCTTTTTTGCCATAAGGTAACCAGGCTCCAGAAATTAAGATGTGATGTTTTTGAACTGTGGTGTTGGAAAAGACCCTTGAGAGTCCCTTGGACAGGAAAGAGATCAAACCAGTCCATCCTAAAGGAAATCAATCCTTGAATATTCATTGGAAGGACTGATGCTGAAGCTGAAACTCCAATACTTTGGCCACCTGATGTGAAGAACTGACTCACTGGAAAAGACCCTGATGCTGGGAAACACTGAAGGCAGGAAGAGAAGGGGACGACAGAGGATGAGATGGTTGGATGACATCACTGACTCGATGAACATGAATTTGAGTAAGCTCTGGGAGTTGGTGATGGACAGGTAGGCCTGGCGTGCTCAGTCCATGGGGTCTCAAAGAGTTGGACACAACTAAGGGACAGAATTGAGCTGAATCTTTGGGGGGATCATTATTCAGACGACCACTTCTACCTCCAAAGAAGCCCAAAGAAATGAGGTGAGCAGACATGATTCTCACTAAGCCCACCCCAATTTCAGTTCTCAAGTTCCCAGTACAACAAACAAAAGTTCTACAACCTAACACCTCTTCCCACCTCACAACCTGCTTACAATCAGGAAATCACTATCTATATTAATTAAAGACATTACTAACTAGTGTTAATGGTTCCTGAATGAAAAACGCAGCAGTAATGAGTAAGACTCCCACTAGCATGGGAGAGCAACACAGCACAGGGACTAAGGATGCGTCCTCTGGAGCCAGCCTCCCTAGAGTCACATCCCAGCCTCACACCCAGGCAACAATGCAACCAAAGGCGGTTTAACCTCTGTACCTCAGTTTCCCCTTCTAGCAAACAAGGCTAATTCATAGTATCTACCTCACTGGGTTGTTAAACAGATTACAGGAGCTGAAATCTATGACAAACCTAAAACAGTGCTTGGCTCATTAAAGTTAACTGTTATTACTAACAACAATCAACCAGAGTAGACATACAGATGTTAATGGATCTGGTGGAAACCTCTCATATCAAAACTGAGGCTACTGTAGTGACAGAACTAGATACTGTAATAACAATCTATACAATAGAAACCATAAGATGAGATGTGAAATTTACAGTTAAGTCTGTGAGAACTCTTAAAGGATATCCTAACTGAAAAAGACGAGCTACTCTGCCAGCTTGGATCACGGAATTTACAGGCCCCCTTTCAAAGGACCGGACCCACATCCTGGAGATGGAGACTTCACCTGAAGCCACTCGTCCTGCTCTCACTCTGGATCTGGGGGCTTCCCCTGTCTCTACTGTGCTTTTCTAGTAGTGGGAGTTAAGAATTAAACGCCTAGTGTCACTGAAAGACTTTTCACAATGAGTAGGAAACCGTTTTGTTTTGTTCTAGAAGGGAAATAGAACTTGGGTCCAGGTACCAATGGTGTGACCTAGGGCAAGTACCAGTTTAATGATCTACTGAATTCTCTTCACCTTCACGAAGTCTTCACCCATGCTCCTGCCTTGTCCTTCCAGCCTCTACTGGTGGCACCCCATCCCCGGTAACTATCTCCAGGACCTTCTCTCTCTCTCTCTCTCTCTCTCTCTCTCTCACACACACACACACACACGCACTGCTTGCCACATCCCCTGCTGAAGCCAAGTGGTTGAGTTCACAAGCAACCCAAAAGAAGCTGATTTATTGTGCAGCCAAACTATCCTACATTTACAACAGACAAATCTCGACTATTTACACATGTCTATGGGAAGAAGTTCTATGCTACAGACGATTATACACAATTCAACACTAACTAGAGGCCCACAACTATACAAGTAGCAGAAAACAAGGATTTGTCTGCTTTATCTAGGTTCGAAGTAGATAGAAATTCAGTGGGGACCAGAGCTCCTACCTTCTTACACTAAGAAGCCAGTGGCCATTGACCCACAGTTCCTCACAAGCTTGCAATCCTGTGGCTTGCAAACACCAGTCATGCACATTATCACCAACCTGCATGACCTGTCACAGTCAAAAGCAACGAGGTGACCTAATGACTATGTGACCTTAAGGGATTCAGACTAGCTAGCAACATTTCATTCCAAATCAAGAGAAAGCCAAGAATGGACTTGAGGTCCAGCAGTACAGCAGACTGAACGACAGAACAATCACTATTTGGGGCACTGCTGAGATCTCATGAGGAATGGGTGGTGACCAAAATCACCCTCCAACCGATTAGCAAATGTCACTGAAGCAAGCAGGCTGGGAACGCCTGCTCAGAAGGTAACCTGGTACTGGGATACTGAGCTTAGGCTAGGAGAGTTAGAATTGTGCCTGCAACTCCAGGCCCTCTATGAGTCCAATCCAACAGAGAGATGGCGCTTTCAGGCTCCTAGTAGAAACAGACTCAGATCACGCCCAAAGAAAACTCTCGCGAGTTAGGACTCCTAGAAGACAGGTTAAGATTAAGCACTGAAATTACCAATACAAAATTTAACAAGCACAGAGGGAGAAACCACTCTACCACGGGTTCAAGTCACTGTACACAGTCCAAAGATGCACATACCATAAATGCCAAATACAGAAGAAAAAAAGTAGAATAGGCAAGTGTCTAAAGGAACAAAGGAATAAGAAACAGCAATATAAAGAATACAGTAACCAGGCAGATTTGAAAAAGAAGTAAATGGAACTTATACAAATAAAAGATAATTGATAACTCAAATATTCAGAATAAGTTAAATAGATTAGACACAGCTGATGACAGAATTAGTAAAATGGAAAATACCAAGAAATTATCATGTAAGCAAGAATCTAAATTAGTTTATGAGATTACAAAGAATCCAAATTACTTCTAAATTAAAGTCATGATTCAGATCAGACTTCTACCAATCTAAAAACACGCACAGTATTTTAAATGTATTTATTAGACTGAGGGCTTAAAAGTGTGTGTCTTTAGACATTTTCTCATCTTTACAACATACCTAAGAAGTGAAAAACAGCACAGAAACTAGAACTCACATCCTTCAAGGAAACAGAACCTATTAATATTATTTTAGGTTCTTCTTTCATGACCTCCTTGCTGGAAGGAGTCACAGAAAATTACATCTCATACATTCTGGAGCACAGGAGTCAGAGCCAAACTGGAATGATGACATTAACCCAGAGAGTAAAAAGAAAAACAGTCATTGCCCAGTGGATTCTTCCGATATGGGGTAGAATCTTTCACTGCCAACTCTGTCTTATTTATTCCTCAGCCATGTTAAGATAACAGTCAACAACACAGTTGATCCCCTTTTTAAAATTTCACCATTCCTATGGCCATCTTGATACTTAACTTTGCATCATTAATCCATGCTGTCCTTCATTTTCAGTATTCTGATACATCTCAGGCTCTGCTCTGTTTTATTCATGTGTCATTTTTGACTGTTATATGTAGCTACTCACTCCTCCTCCACAAGCCTTCATCCCTTAATTTGTGTATCTTGACTCACACTTCTAACAACTTTCATTTGTTCACAGAAGGAACAAGCTGTACTCTAAAATTTCGCCTATGACTAAAATGTTTTTCCGTATTTCTAAGTAAAATGGGGGGTATTAAATTTTCAATTCTGTCTCACTCCAAATGTACCAACCCTCTATGTAATTTGCTTGTGATTTATTTACACACAGACAACAAAACTAGTTAGTGTCAATACAAAGATTTACAAGGCGCTAATCAGGACACTTCTTTGACCGTTAAAGTGAGTAAGAGAAGCAACCGGAATAGCAGGTTTCAAATACTCAGAATTCTTTCCAAACTAACCAAAACATTCTTTAGCGGTGACTGCATGACCCGCCAAGTTTTAAAACGAGCCGTTTCAATTTGTAAAGTTATAATCTACTTTTAAAAACTTCTTCTTGGAAAAAAAAAAAAAACACTTCTTGGGAATTAAAACATGAAGCTGAAAAAGCAATCCTATCACCTAAAGATCACTTCGATATATCTCATACCCTCAGAGGCTAAGGGAAAAAGGAGAAGTTTAACTTAAAAATGCAAAGTGCACGAGAGACATCAGGACTGAAACGTTTGAAGCTGCTTCTCACGACAGCCTTAGGAAGTTGGGGGAGTGATCAGGTATTTGTCAAAGGATCCAAAAAGAACTGGGCGCTGCCGTCATAACCCGTGAGAAGAAGGCAGCTCTGACGATCTAGAACAAAGCGTAGCTCACGGCTCGGTCCAGGGAACCCGCCCACACTGTCGGCCAGACCCGAGCTGAGGAAAACCGAGGAACCCAGCACCGGGCCGCAGCCCGCCCGGACCAATGCCCAACTTACAAACTTGGGGCGCTTCTCCGCAGGCGCCGCGCGGCCGCGGGGCGGCGGAGGGCGCTGCAGGCCCTTCCTGCGCGGCGCATCGCTGTCCCGGCGGCTACGGCCCGGGGAGGAGGCGGGGTAGGCAGCCCCGGCGACCGAGCGCTGCGCCGGGGTACGCAGCCGCGGCCTGTGCCGGTCCATGCTTCCGCGGTTCTGGGAAGGCGAAGTAGGAGAAGGCCGCAGCTCTGCAAGCCGCGGGAGGGAGCCAGGCGTCCGCGGCGCGCGCGTCCCCAACCCCGTCGCCGACTGCCCCGGCCCGGCTCAGTCCAACTGCTGCCTCCTCACCGCCGCCAACACATCCGAAAAATCCCGCCGCCGCCGAGCACCCGGGCCCAGCCAATCCAGAGCCGCCGCCGAGCCCGGGCGCAGCCAATCCGAGGCCGCACTCGGAGTGACGCGCCCTGGGCACCTCCCCTTCCGGGCAAGAAGAAGCGTGATTGGCGGTTCCGCCGGTCTCTGCGCCGCTCGAGCCTCCCGAGGCCCAGGCGGCCCAAGTTGAAGGGCAGTGGGTGCGGCCGGCCTTGGCAGTGTGGGATGAGTACCGGGAAGTGACTACTCTGGGTGTGTTTGGAATTTGGAGAATGGCTTCCGGATGACCGGGGATGGGGCGGGGATGGGGCGGGACCCGGGCGGGACCCGCCCAGCGCCGCCACTTGGGCGGAGCTTGGATGCGAAATCATCTGATCCCCGTTTCCGCTCGTCTCGGGAGGCCCCGGTGTGATGGCCACTGGGAAAAGTAGTTCCTCTGGGATCTGTACTTGAAGGGCCGCTAAGCAGGAGAGGACCATAGCCTCCAGGACGCCCTAGAGGACCTTTTCTGCACAGGCCGTCTGAGCGCCTGCTGAGAACTGGGAACCCGCTCAAGGGTGGCAGAGGCAGCCACCAAAAACCAGACAGCGCTTCCTGGAGGAGCTCACAGTCTAATAATGTGCTTCACAAATCCTTACACAGATGAAATAACATAAATGTTATAGCAGTTAATTTAAAAGTTCTTGAGAATTTTTTTAAAGAAGTATTGAATCTGAAGGAGAGGATTTGGAAAGAAGAAAGGAAGGATGCAAAGACTTTCTTAGGACAGAAAAGAGTGGCTTGACTTGCAACAAAAAGACGTTCCAGGCAGAGGCAAGGCCTAGAGGAGTCATAGAACATCGGAACAACCTAGATGTCCATCTACTGATGAATGGATAAAGAAAATGTAGTACATATGTACAATGGGATATTACTCAGCCTTCAAACTGAATGAAATTGGGTTATTCGTAGGGATGTGGATGGATTTAGAGTCTGTCAGAGTGATGTAAGTCAGGAAGAGAAAAACAAATATTGTATATTAATGCATACAAATGGAATCTAGAAAAATGGTACAGTTCAGTTCACAGCCACTCAGTCATGTCCAACTCTTTGCAACCCCATGGACTGCAGCACGCAGTCCATCACCCCTGTTCATCACCACCTCCCAGAGTTTACCCAAACTCATGTCCCGTTGAGTTGGTGATGCCATCCAACCATGTCATCCTCTGTCGTCCCCTTCTCCTCCTGCCTTCAAGCTTTCAAAGCATCAGGGTCTTTTCCAATGAGTCAGCTCTTTGCATCAGGTGGCCAAAGTATCGGAGTTTCGGCTTCAACATTGGTCCTTCCAATGAACACTCAGGACTGATCTCCTTTAGGATGGACTTGTTGGATCTCCTTGCTGTCCAAGGGACTCTCAAGAGTCTTCGCCAGCACCACAGTTCAAAAGCATCAGTTCTTCGGGGCTCAACTTTCTTTATAGTCCAACTCTCACATCCATACATGACTACTGGAAAAACCATAGCCTTGACTAGACGAACCTTTGTTGGCAAAGTAATGTCTCTGTTTTTTAGTATGCTGTCCAGGTTGGTCATAACTTTCCCTCCAAGGAGTATGTGTCTTTTAATTTCATGACTGCAGTCACCATCTGCATGGATTTTGGAGCCCCCAAAAATAAAGTCAACCCAAGTTACCACTGTTTCCCCATCTATTTGCCATGAAGTGATGGACCGGATGCCATAGATCTTAGTTTTCTGAATGTTGAGATTTAAGCCAACTTTTTCACTCTCCTCTTTCACTTTCATCAAGAAGTTCTTTAGTTCTTCACTTTCTGCCGTAAGGGTGGTGTCATCTGCATGAGTGAAATTTAGTGAAATTGCCCAGTCTTGTCCGACTCTTTGCAATCCCATGGACTGTCACCTACCAGGCTCCTCCATCGATGGAATTTTCCAAGCAGGAATACTGGAGTGGGTTGCCATTTCCTTCTCCAGGGGATCTTCCCAACCCAGGGATCGAACCTGGGTCTCCCGCACTGGAGGCAGATGCTTTACTGTCTGAGATACCAGGGAAGCCCATCATCTGCATATCTGAGGTTATTGATATTTCTCCCAGCAATCTTGATTCCAGCTTGTGCTTCATCCAGAGAAATGGTACAGTTGAACCTATTTCCAAAACAGGAATAGAGACATAAAGGGAGAGAACAGACACATGGACACTGTGGGGAAAGGAAGGATGGAACAAATTGGGAGATTAGGACTGACATATATACACTACCTTGTGTAAAATAGATAGCTAGTGGGAACCTTCTGGTTAGCACAGGTTGCTCTGTGATGTCCTAGCTGGATGGGATGTGGGCTAGCATAGAGGTTGAGAAAATGGGCCTTAGGTCTTAGTTCAAGTAAAATCTTCACACTACAGTTGGGCAGGGGAGGGAGGATTGTTTATTTGTTTTATTTGTATTTGTTATTATGTTTGTTTATTTGTACAAAGCTTCTGTGCTGGTCTCTATACTCAGAAAGTACCTAATCTTTAGGGGAAAGTCCAGGAGAACAGAAAGTTCAGGAGAACTGCAAGTATGTAGTTCCTATCTATTGGTAATCATTGGACCCATATGCACATTTTACTCCTGTTATTTACTAGCTATGTGATGTTGAAGGTGATGTTAAAATTTCTTTCTTTTGCTTTTTCAAATGCAGAAGGGGGTAATAACCATACCTAACAATCAGAATTGTCAGGCTTAAATGAGATAGCATATATAAAGTTCTTAGAAGTGTCTGTGAAAGCCCCTCCCAGCAAAGACTACCAGGAAGGAGGAATGCATGTAGTTGAACCAGTGGAGTTTATTACACATAAAGAATGAGAACATGCACTTTGGGATGGGGTTGCTCAGTAAGAGGTGCTAGAAAGGCCTGAAAGGATTTGGACTTTGGTTAGGTGATTTTGGAAGACTCTTCAGAAGGCAGAATGAGAAGGGTTACTCTGAATTTCAGTGCTTTCAGGGATTGGGGACTGTTTGATGATTGGGTAACTTAGTAAATCTTATCTGGTTGGATGGGGGGCTAAAGAATGAGGCTAAAGCCATAAGTGACAAAGGAGGACAGTCACTGATAGTCTCGGAAAGTTTAGTAGTGACTTCCCACCAACCCTATTCTGTAAGACTGGTTATGTTCATGAGAAGAACAATGAGGTCTATCTGTGAATGTCAGACCAGCTTCCAAAAACACCAAGGCCCACCTCAGGTCCTGGGCATAGAGAAGGTACTAAATATAAATAAGCGGGAACTATTATTATAATTGATTTTCAAGCTTTATATAGAGCACCTTTACATTTTTCTCATGCAAGTTCTTTGCAACTATAATGCACCTATGATAATATCTTTATCTATTAATAAATTTCACATTTTTAAAGTACATTTTATATATATTTATTACTTAAACACCACACAGCATCCACTGCCCCTCATTCTGATGCCCCAACAAGAAGTAAACCCCCCAAGTCAGCAATTTTGGAAGCACTACCTTGTGCCAGCCTCCATGCCCAGGACTGGAACAAAGTTGAATGAAGCAAAAAGCAGACCTGGAGAAGACTGGAATCTAGGAATGTGTTTCTTTGATTTATCATTCTGTTCAGTCTAAACATCCAAACAATTAGTAATGCAATCCTTATGAGGGTTCACTCTTAAGGATTGTGTAAGCAAGTTGTGAAAAGTTGAGGGAAGGGGTGAATCATTCCCATTCAATATTTTTTTTAATGACAATTCTATGAGATACCATTTTACCCTCATCAGACTGGCAAAATGACAAAATTCCATGTCACCAAGTTTTCACCAATGTGTAGGGATTTCTGCATAGATGATAAGAGTGCAAAACTGGTAAAGCCAGTTTAGGCAGCAACTTGGAAATGGTAAAGGTGCATGTACTTATGACCCAGCAATTCCATATCTCATGTCTCCCTGGAGAAGCTCAAAGATGTTGTGCAAAAATATTTCCTGAACATTTGTAAAAGCTAAAAAGGGTAAGCATTTAAATATCCTGCAGTCAGGGAGAGAATAAAATACAGAGAGGCTTGCTATGCAGTAGACTTCTACACTACATTTAAAACAAATAACTAGGCCTACATATGGATAAATCTCAAAAATAGAGAAATTAAGTGTCTATATATATTAATATATAGCATAATATATATAAATGCAATGTGTGTGTGTGTGATAACACTGCAAAAACATGAGGGAAATAAACACAATGATGTCATCTAGTTCCAAAGAAGAAAGGAAGAATAAGGAAGGAACTAAGCTGAAGTGTTATTGCTAAAGTTTCTGGAAATGTTTTTATCTATTAAAAGGAAAAGATCCTGGAATAAACAAACCTTGTCCAGCATATTGAATTCTGCGCTCTGCAATTCCTTGATACATAGGAGACACACCAAGACCATTTCCCTGATGGTGGTATGTTGGTCCTTTAATGGACCAGAACCTGGTAGTCCGAAGTCGATGATGAGAAAGTGAAAGAAGGAAAGAGGCTAATATTCCCTGGGTTACGCAGCCGGCTTTCAAGTTCCAGGGAATCAGCCAGAAATAGAGACAGAAAGAGAAGAAGAGAAAGAAAGAAAGAAAGACACAGGGACCAAAGCTCTGATGGAGCAAAGGTGTTTTAATCAACATGGTGTGCACATATATACTGTCTTACAAGGTAGTTATTCTCAGCAAAGATACAGATTAGAATTTCAGACTTATAAAACGCAAGGCGAACCCTATTAAAGAGAGAAGAGGGTACTTATCACCATAATGAAAAACTAACAAAGGAAGTGCCTGGATTCTTCAGCCCCAGGAAAGGCGTGCCTCTCCTCTTAATTCCTGAATATTCAGGAATTAATAAGGGCCAAAGGTTTCCTGACAGATCCAAAACAGCACACAGGAAGCCTCCTGTTAAATGCATCCTGACAGTGGTATAAAAACCTGATTGTCCTTTGCACCATCTACTGAAAATCTGTGGCAGCTAGTGCATGGTAAACCATACATTCTAATGTCTTTTTGCATATTTTAAAGTTTTATTGTAGGGTCAATTTAATATCCACATGTATTTTAACTCTTTGCATACTGTAATTAAATTAATTTCTTGTGATGGTGGTGGTGACTAGTGCTCACTTAAAATCCACCCAAGCACTTATTTCCCTCTTCTTAACTGGAACTCATACTTGTGAGGTATGGTACCCATGATCCACAGTGTATTCATGAGTCAAATTCATATTTTGTGTATCTGGCTATAAATTTTACATAGTATTTACTTTGATACTATAAATCCACTTGATTTTAATATAGTGGTGTGTGTTTATATGGCATGTGCACACTTTAGTTTCATGAGCCTTGGGAAACTGATTCCATAAATATCATAAATAGATATAAATGTATAAGGCTTATTTTTCTGGCAAGGCAATCAGTACATTCCTCTTATTTGTTGAATCACAGACTTTGGTGTTAATGTAGAGATATTTGTAGACCAATTTC